GTGTGTGTGTGTGTGTGTGTGTGTGTGTGTGTGTGTGTGTTACACCGCTCAGCTGTTTTGAGAGCCTCCTTCTTCTTCTTCTTCTTCTTCTTCTTCTTCTTCTTCTTCTTCTTCTTCTTCTTCTTCTTCTTCTCCCTTCTCCTTCTCCTTCTCCTCCTCCTCCTCCTCCTCCCTTCTCCCTTCTCCCTTCCCCTTGTTGTTGTTGTTGTTGTTGTTGTTGTTGTTGGCCATCATTGTCATCGACAATATTGGCACGTTTGTCATTGGTCGGTCGTTATCATCAATTGACATAGCAACCTTCAACTTCTCCTTGGCCATCATTGTCATCAAACACCGAATTTGAGACTTGTCACCGCACCATTACTTTTGTGCCGCTGTAATTTTTGTCGACATGCAGGGTGGGCCCCACGACAGTCGGCGGCCCTTGACTAGTCAGCTACCAACCCGCCGACCGATCGGCTGGTCGGCACCTACCGATCGGGGGTCGTTGGCACCCCACAAAAAGAAAAAAGAAAAAAAAGCTCCAGATCCCCTAATAACACCACCAACACCCGCATAGCGGCCCCCAATACCCCCATACACCCTCCCAACACCCCCAAACCGCACCCAACACCCTCATTACCCCCCCAATACCCCCTATATCACCCCTATATCCCCCTATACCCCCCTATACGCCAACCCCAACCCCCCCCATACACCCCCCCATCCCCAAAAGTTTCTCAGCGGATTTGGGCTGTACTCAGCAAGCGCAGTACAGCCCCCAACTCAGATTTGAAAAAAAATCAGTGGACGGTTGTTTTCTGACTGGTCGGCAGACCGTCGACCGGTCGGCGCTACTGGTCGGCTGCAATACGGTCGGCAGTCGGGGTCGGCGGTCGGCAGGGATGCTACCCTGTCAACATGGCTGAAATCATTCTTTTACCATCATTTTTATCGTTGTCGTCAACTTGTCAACATTTCCATCAACCTTGCCATAACTGATGATGATTAAATTTTGTGAAAGAGGCGTTCTTCGTAATTGTTATGGTGGCCACCTTGTCATTAACTCCGACCACATACATCATCATCCCTCTGAAAAGTGGAATTTGGGGTGGGTGTTATTTTGGAGGCAACCCTAGGTAAGGGGTTGCAGGCCCCCACACATCAAGAAGGAGGGGGGGGATATGTAAGGAGCAGTCGTTAATCCTTCCTGAGTTGTAGCAACCAATACCACAAGCTTAAGAAGGGTGACAGCAAGTTGAGTGATGTATGCTTTGCCGAAGGGGTTTTCTGCTGGAAGAAGCCAGAGTTACCTTAGCTGTTGTTGGATATCTGACAGTCCACTATGGTGGACTGAAAGGGACTACTCTGCATGTTTTGAGGCCTGTTCCGTATAGCTACGTACATATGCCTGCAGCTTGGACGAGTTTACCTTTTTTTTCCTTTTCTTAGGAAAAAAAACAAAAACAGAACCTTATACCAAAATCATCTCGTCTCTACACGGCAGGTTCTGTAATGGGCATGGAGGCAGACACAGTAGAAGGCAGATGGTGCCTCATGGATCTAAAATGGAAAGAGGAAGAATTCAGAGCAATCACTGTATACGCACCAAACCGTTCCTCAGACAGAGCAACATTCATAACAAGCATTGGACATTTGATCACTCCCTTCTCAGCCTGCATTATGGCGGGGGACTGGAACACGACTTTGGATCCCTCCACCGATTGTATTTCTAGATCCTCGGCTAGTCAGCCTACACAGGAGGCAGTGCCCATCCAGAAGTTGATACTGGATCACAATCTGGTTGAACCATACCGTACTATGCATCCGGGGACAAAAACCTTGACACTGGTAAAAAAGAATCATGCACAACACACCGCTTTCTCGTTCATCGATTACTTCCTTCTCTCAGAGATGCTAATGGGAACAGTCAAGAGTGCAAAGATTCTTCCCCTACAACCCTACCCGAAACTGGATCATAAACCCATTGCACTCATTATCAGTTTTGATCAATATGTAAAAAAAGGTTCTAGCTTTCACAAACTGAACAACTCCCTCCTATTGAGCCAGTCCTTCCAGGTGGGAGTTAGGGAATGCTGGAAGAATAAAAGGGGCAACTACCTACCTATCCATGATAGGTGGGAATGGTTTCAAGAAAGTTACTTTACATTATCACAAACGGTAGCCAAAATGTCAAGGAAATTGGCGAATGACAGAAAGCAGGAAACAAGCTCTGGAGACAGCCCTCAAAATCGCAAAGACAAATCTAATTGACAATCCTTCCTCGATGCTATATACAAACGTTTTTCAAAAAGCCAGGGAAGAACTAACCATTTGGAGATGGTGGGAGTTGAAGGGCTTACAAATAAGAGCCAGAATGAACGAATATGAGCTGAGTGAATCGATGTCAAAACATTTCTTTGCAAGAATCAAAGCAAATGCAAGATCAAGTTCTATAAAAGGGTTGAAGACCCTTACAGGCCCACCCGAAACATTAACGGACAACGAAGGAATGTTGAACATAGCCAGGGAATTCCATGAAGAGTTGTACCACACAAAGACCCCTATGCCCACTCCACCTAGCACTAGAGAAGCACGGTCCAGGATGCATCAATATTTAGAACAAACAATATCAGAAGAGCAAGCTGAATCTTTTGACAAACCCATCACTCTGGAGGAACTGCAATTTGCAATACAGAGTATGAATAACAACAAGGCACCTAGGATCGACGGACTAACGAAGGAATTATGGGAAAAGTTTTGGCTGCTTCTAGGGGAGGATCTGCTGAACTTCTACAATGACAGTTGGCAAAAGGGGGGGTTAAGGAAGTTGTTGAGCAGTAGCGTGGTGGCCTTGTTATATAAAAAAGGTGACAAAGAAGATGTAAGAAACTACAGACCTATATCGCTACTAACGCTCCCCTATAAAATCCTGGCCAAAGCCCTGGCCTTCAGGATCTTGGATCTGACAAACAAATGTTTTCACATCGACCAAACAAACTTCATCCCTGGAAGGTACATACTGGACAACATACTTACCCTCAATGAGGCGGCCAATAAAGTCCGGGAAAAGAGGATTAACACAGCAATACTTTTCTTTGATTTTGAGAAGGCATACGACCAGGTCAATTGGGCCTTCCTCAATGCAAGCATGGAAAAGATGGGAGTAGGGCCGAACTTCAGGAAATGGGTACGTATTCTATACAACGACGCCATAGGTTGCGTCCAAGTCAACGGCCTGCTGTTAGAGTGCTACCCAATCTCACGTTCGGTCCGCCAAGGGGACCCGCTAGCACCCCCAATTTTCTTGTTTGTGATGGAAGCAATAGCATCATTCCTACGCAAAGACCCTTCCATACACAGGCTACCAGAAGTGAATGTAGGATCAGCTCACCATGTAAGATTTCCTACTGTAGTAATGTTTGCAGACGACCTCATTGTCCTCATTCGAGCCTCGGACTCATCTTTTGCTGTGCTAGTAAGAGCCATGGAAGCATTCAGACTGGCATCAGAAACGAAAATCAATTGCGGAAAAACAATTCGGTGTCGTTAGCCGAGGACATGATCCCCCGGCCCCAGGGTCCACAGGCAGCCATGACTTGGGAAACACCAGACACTACCATGCGATACCTGGGTATTCTGATGACTAAAGAAGGTCGGGCCCCTCAAATGGCCCAGAATGTACTCTCCAAACAAATAAGCAAGCTGGGCAGGTGGGGGAACACATTTACTTCCTTGTTGGGTCGCGCATTAGCCATTAATACATCCATCTTCTCAATGATGTGGTACATAGCTTCAATCTGGACAATCCCAGACCAATCTAAAGAAGGCCTGGCCCTTCAAATGGCCCAGAATGTACTCTCCAAACAAATAAGCAAGCTGGGAAGGTGGGGGAACACATTTACTTCCTTGCTGGGTCGCGCATTAGCCATTAATACATCCATCTTCTCAATGATGTGCTACATAGCTTCAATCTGGACAATCCCAAACCAATCACTTAAAGACCTCGACCGCAAAGCAAGAGTGTACCTATGGTCAGGAGACCCCAACAAAGTGAACTGTATACCAAAGATAGCATGGCATTATATCACAAGGCAACCAGACAAAGGGGGCCTGGGCATTATAGACCCTAAACAAGAAACAAAATCCCTACAAGTCAAATGGATTGTCAAACTACTGACCAAACCTGAATCAGCATGGAGCAAATTGGCCTTGGATAGCATAAGGGTTTTAGCCCCAACAGCGACACCAGCGAACATGTCCGGTTTATTTTGGGCAATGAATAAGGAATGGATCCCAAAAACAGGCCGTAGAAATCAAAGAAGAGGAGCTCGTCCAAATCAAGCCAGGATTCCCACACCCTATTGGGCAGCCTTGCTTCAGATATGGTGGGAAATTATGCCGAAGAAGGTAGGTAAACCCAGATCCAAAGAGGAGGTACTGAGGCAACCACTATTTGGCAACCCTTGGGTAAGAGATGAAAGCGATCACTCGCTCTCCCTCAAACCAAGGGGTATGCGATGGCTGTCATGGATAAAGCATGGAATCTGGAGAGTGAGCCATATATGGGACGAAGAAAAAA